GAAACCCTTACCACGCAAATCAGGCGGTACTTCAGTATGCGTTAACTCCAGGATGTTATTCCGCAAGCGTCGATATTGGAGCAGCGGCCGCGCACCGTTGAGTTTGATGAAAAACTGTGATGCTTTGCGGCAGTGTTCCACAAGCATGACAACTGGACTTTTTTGAGCAGAAGACACACAAAATCACCTGAAATGCGTAGCTAAAAAGCCCTTTCATTTTTTCACAGCGTAAGTTAGAACTAACAGAGCTGCATTCTCCTCCAAACGTTTATTTAAAAGCCAAAAACAACTGCCAACAGCAAGCAACAGCTTGCATGACCACCGAAAACTGTCCCCTCCGCAAGTTGCTTAAAAGCAACCTGATGATGACTCTTCAGTATGTGTCAGTACCAATTTACCACCGAAGTGATTGAAACAGCCCACAGGCGGAATTGGGCCTTCGACTTTCTGCATGGGAGCAGTGCTACTTGATGGCACAGTAAAATCCGACAGGGGTGGGCAAAGGCTCAGCACGAAAGTGAGTCGGATATTTGTGTGAGGTAATCGATCCCGATCAACTTCATTAAATCAATCGCGATCAATTCAGAGGATGAATTTCGCTATCCTATTCAAATAGCGAGAGCAAAGCTTATACAGATGATGGATCCAAATATATTATTTGACGCAGAAGCTAGAAACCGTATATTTTCATAGCATGATTGTGGCAGATCGAGACACAACTACTTCCATTGATTTCTCTCAATTTTTGGAGTGCAAGCACATATTCTAAACGTAACGATAACCTGGCTCATATCCAAGAACCCCTCTCACGCCACCTGCTTGACAGGAGTTACAGGTCAAAGATCACCAACAGCTTAAAACTGATTTTCCGGATGTATTTGGACGCCAGGCAGCCCCATGTTTTCATTAAAATCTATATACATGTTCAAACAGTACTGGCTTAATATGCGCTGCATTTGGACTTAAATTTACTGGTGGAGCGGACTGGTTCGCTTATGATTAGCATACCATAGATCTCCAGAACCCATCAATTTGACAAAAATCGGCAGAGTTCCACAAAGGTAACTTTCGCTACATGAGAAGGTGCTTTCAAAACACCGTTAAATGAGTCGAAGTTA